AGATAAATTGTGGGAAACTTTACGTGAATTATGATTCGTTTATAAGAATAAGAATAGAAAATCTTCACTCATATAGAAAGAAGAAATTATTTGTTAGAGGAGGCAATATTTAAGGGAAATTCAAAAATTGAGGGGAGAAATCAAAAATATTTTTGATTTAGATGAATCATGGGTTAATGAAGACCATTTTGTAAAAAAGTTTGGCAAAATAAACTGGTTACAAATGCTCGTCAGGCATTGATAAAAGTTTTGTCTACGGCTGTAAAATTTCCAAATGGTAAAGGTCGCCTTTTAAATATCACTTATAATAAAGGAGATAAACGATTTGTTGATGAAAGCTTGCTAGATTTTATTTCAAATTCTATGAACTATTACTATGAAGAAATGACTGCTGATGTTTTTGAGGAATATTTCAGTCAAATTATAGATTTATTACCGATCAATTCAGTAATAGTCATGGATAATGCCAGTTAATTCAAGATTAAAGGAACCGTTATCTAACACTAAATGGAGAAATCAAGAATTTTTGGTTGGCTAAAACCCAAAGAAATAGTAGTGCCAGCAGAAGGTTTACTCAAAAAAGAGTAATTGCAGCTAGCAAACAATATTTACCAAAATTAAAAAGTGTGTTGTAGATGAAATATCAAAAGAACATGGAGTTAAAGTGTTGCGATTCCCACCTTATCGCTGTGAACTTAACCCCATAGAACTAATCTGGGCTCAAATGAAGGGATAAGTGGCGAGAAATAATACAACATTTAAAGTTCAAGATGTTCGTCAACTATTATATGACTCCATATTAAAACCTTAATCAGAAAATTGACAAAAAGCTATAGGACGTGTCATAGTAGAGGAAGAAACATTCTAGGAACTCAATATGTTAATAGCGGAAACAATAGAATTAATTGTTATTTTTGTGGGAAATGAAGAAACTGATGATGATGATACCTCCTTATTGGAAGAAGACAATTTATTTATTTAGGTATGTAATTATATACATATATTACTAATCATAAGTTTATATGACTCTAGTACCCGAAATATATTTTTTATTGAATTATAAGGAAATGCCCTAAACCAATATTTAGTATTTTTATGAAAATTAATATTGGTACGTAATATTGACATTTTAGTTTTTTTATAGTAAAGTAACTTTATGTTGTATCAATTATTACATTTTTTCTACATTTGCTATAAAATTTGTGGTATCAATTATTTTAAAATGTCCTCTAGATGTTTGTTTAGAAAGATGACTTCTAAATTAAGTGCATGGATCGGACCATATTCGGAACTTTCTCTAGAAGCAGATGGAGTTTTTGTAAACCGTGAGGCAAATCGTTAAGTTTTATTTTTGCTCTATCTTTGACATCCTATAACTAAATTCCAAAGTGTTCTAATTATCGTTGTCAAATGATAATTGCGTCCAACTTTCCTGTGTATATAGTTAATCATCCTAGTTTTAAGTTTTTATTTAAAATCATTTGAATAAATCCTTACACGAGGAGAGTACATTGAGAAAACAATCTGTAGAAAAATGATATGTGGAATGTATTTCAAAAATTAAGCGGGAGTTTCTCGTAGATTATCGTGGATAAAACGACAGATATATGCGGCAGGTATATACCTAATTTAATTATTGGGATTTTGAACGAAAACTTTGAGAGAAACCCCTATTTAGTTGCTGTTAAAGAATTGGAAGAAAAATACAATGCCCTAAACCAGTGGATTTATACAAGATAGGTTAACAAACCTCTTTTTACCTAACTCTATACCAGTGAATTAATGCTTTCAGATGTGGCTATCCTCAGGCGGAAAAACTTTGAACGAAATAGATTACATACTGTGTAACAAAACAGATATCATACAGGACGTAACGGATGTAGCGAAATTAGAGATAAAACATAATAAAAATAAAAAAAATTTAGAAAAACTTGGAATATAGACACAGATAAACTAATAAAACTCGCAAAAGTAATAAATCTAGATAAACTTAGCTTAAATGAAATCAATGAAGTCATAACAAAAGAACTATTAAATGCAAGCTCAGAAGCGGCAATCGCTAACAGAAAACGAAAATCCAAAATAAGTGTAGAATCACAAAACATACTGAAAGTAAAAAGATCTTCTGAGACAAAACAAAAGAGACACTGCAGAATTTAAGGAACTTAATCGAGTAATAAGAAAACAGATAAAAGAGGACAATAAAAACATCAAGAAGACCGTATAGAACATATCATAGAGAAAACCCGAAGTCTCAAACGCACCACACCGAAACTAGCAAAGAAAAACATATTAACCATTAAAAATGAACGAGGACAACTAGAAAAAAGTAAATCTAATATTGCAAACTCAATTGAAAAGTTCTATGCCGATCTGTACCAAGAATAGAAAGAGCAGTAAAAAAAATAAAAAGGAATTAAGCTCCTGGAAGCGATGGAATCCTAGCAGAAATGCTGAAGTAAGGCGGACAAGAAGCCATCACATATCTAAAAATACCATTTAATAAATGTCTATTCCAAGGCAACATACCCGAACAATGGAATACTGCTAAAACAATACTAATATACAAAAAGGGAGACACCACGAACCTGAAAAATTATCGACCAATTTCACTTCTTTCACAACTTTACAAAACCTTTACAAATATTATTACAAACAGGTTAACAATTAAATTTGACGGATATCAACCAGTAGAACAAGCCGGATTTAGAAAAGGGTACAGTACCAGTGACCATCCATATACTTTGAAAATCCTAATAGAAAAGACTAACGAATACAATCTCCCATTATGTCTGGGTTTTATAGATTATGAAAAAGCTTTTGATAGCTTAGAACTATGGGCAATAGAAGAAGCATTAGTCAACAACCGGATCGACTCCAGTTACAGAATATTAATACATAATATTTACGAACAAGCTAAAATGATAGTGACGTTGGGTAATGTAATCAAAACAAGACCAGTATAAATCAATCGAGGAGTAAGACGAGAAGACACAATATCTTCAAAATTATTTACAGCTGCCCTAGAAGATATATTTAAGTCACTAGACTGGGAAAATAAGGAAATCCTTATTAACGATGATCCAGATGATGTAGTAGTAATAGCCGACACGTGGAATGCACTGAATACGATTATTGAGGAGCTACACATAGAATCTGTACTTATATATGAAGCTCAAACCTGGATATTCATCAAAATAAACATGGAGAAGATCAGAAAAACTCAGAGAGCTATGGAACAACAGATGCTGGGTATCTCACTCAAAAAACATAAACCAATGAAGATATTCATAATAAAACAAAAGTAAAAGATGCTGTCGAATAGGCAGCTTAAATGAAATGGAAATGGGCTGGATATAACAAACGTCTTAAGGATGGCCGATGGAATCAAAAAATCGGGAATTGGCGGCCATATGAAGCCAAAAGACCACGAGGAAGACCGCAAACGCGCTGGAGCGATGATATTAAAGGACTGCAGGACCAATGTGGAAACGTCTCATAAACAACAGAGATGAAAGGGCTTAAAAAAATGCTTTCAGATGCTAGATTAAATAGATGCTGCACGGAGTAAATAGTATTGCCGAAGAAATAAGAAACCTGTTTCCGTTGGTGAATCATTTTATAAATTTTATAAAAAAAAATTTCGTAAAGGCTCCGTTGACGGTGCAGATATATAAAGAAAAGCTCTTCAGTGTCTTTTTGCTACCAAAAGCTTATATATTTGCCTATATAGGGGACTTTTTCTTCAATTTTTGTGGTCTCTAAATTCAAGCTCTACTTATTGGTAACTGACAAAAAATACAAAGAGATAAAAATTAATAACTAAAAAAAATATTCTAGTACCTATTAATCTCTTAACCTGATGTTACTTATCAGTTGTAAAGTTTCCAAAGAAACAGAACAATACCCATGTAAACATCTTTTTCAGATGAAACTATCATAATAGATGAAAAATAGTAGAAAAGCTTTTATAACAAACAATATATTAAGATCTTTTATATCAAAAACGAAAACTAACAATTATGAATAAATAATAAAAAATTACATCGACAAAAAAACCATTAGTGCGCAAATAATTTCCAATAACTGAAAAATGTAGGCTACTAAATGAAAAAAATCGGTGAATATTAATCCTACCAGGAAATTGATTATTAACAAGAAGCAATAATTGAATAATAGATGAAATACAGTAAAAAAAATTATCAATCTAGTAAAAACAACCGGTAGGCATAAATAAACGGAAGTATATATATTTTTCCCGAAATAAAATACTCAAAAGCATTAGGGATATATAATTTCCATAATTACAAAATCTTCTTGAGATGTGATAGCGAATTTGGGCATAGGCTGCTCATATATTTCTGTATTTTTATAATTGTAAAATATATATCAAAATTTAATGTTTAAAATACTAGTTTTCGGGAGATATTACCTATAAGTTTTTTTCTAGTTTGTCTTAAAATTTTCTACAAAATCAATACCTATCGAATTGATCATAATGCAGGTAAATATTTGGTTGTCATTATTTTGCCCAATGGATACTTTCATATTATAGTTGATCTAATATAACCGAATTTAAAAAAAATCGTTACAGGAACTGATCACAAAAATACTGTTAACACCAGATATAAGCACGAATGAGTACTAAATTTTTTAAGATTAACTAATTAAACTAACACGTGATAATACATATTTAACATCACAAAACAAGCTACAGACAGCAGATCAAAAACATTGTTAGATATTTGTTTTTTTTTTATTAAATCTAATAGCCGATTATCACTATCAATTTCAATTATATTATGGGTACCTATTCTTCATAAAATGAATGGTAAATTTAAATGAAAGTTAAAGTACGTCTTTTTTATTATAATATCAAAATGAACGATAGTAGAATGTTTAAAAATGAATGACAGTATAATATTTAAAGTCAGGAACATACACAAAAAGGCAAATATTTTACTCTATTTGTGTGGTTTCTAAGCATATGATTGTTGTCTTCAGTAACAATTAAATTTAAAATTATTGGTACTTACATCGTCATCGTCCAATTGTCCATACACTTCAAGCTTATCAATTCTAATCGTCCCTTGAAACGGATAACAAACAGTCCCTTGCGAAATTTCAGTATTCGACCATACCGACACCTCAGGCTCTCTTCTGCTACCCAATCCTGAACTCCTGACGCACAAGCTGAATTCCTGCGGGATCAGTACACAAGTTTCCATTTTTACAAGTCCTTAGCACATAATACAGTCCAAAAAAATCACTAATATATTAATTGTTAAAAGTTTTTTTTGTGTTATTTTTATTTGTTTTGTTTTAAATTTTCGTGACTCTCGTGATTTTTTTCGCGATTTGTTTTGATATATTGGCCGCCGCAGCCTTGCATGAGTGGCACTGAACTAGGCACTAAACTTGACCCTCAGATCTTGAGTCTAGCTAATCCCCACCTCCCCATACACGTGGTTCTACAGGTACAGTCTCCTTCTTATGGCAGGTGCTTGGCAAACATAAGACGGTGCTCGAGCCCGCTGTATCTCTACGGTACGGTGCGATATACATTTTAAGTTCTTGTTGACTTTGTACTTCTGACCGGATATTATAAAAAATATGTATCACTCGGAGGATACAGTAATTTTGATCGTAAGCGGTAATGACGAGCTTTTTACCAATGTCAGTTTCTTGATTATGTTCTCGAACACGCATCTTCGATGCTTATAATACTTTTAGTATCTTACTTTTTTAGTATTTGAGCTGTAGTATCTGTAATTTATAAGGCTACACATTGAATTTGTATAAAATTTGTCCTATTTTATATAAAATAAATGTATTACTGAAATATTATGTAAATGTATGAAAGAAATGCTCTGTCTTAAACAATAAGTGAAATAGCAGTTAAATATTTAAAAAAAATGAAAATAATACTCTTGATGAACTTTTTAACTTTTAAGTTGGAAGTCATCATCTTAATATGTTGTCTTGTGCTCCGAATTTGGAAGGTGGACGGTAATTAAGAGTTTACTGTCCAAGTTATCGAAAATGTTCACAAAGTTTTCTGAAAAGTTTGTTTCTCGTTTCAATTGCATCTATTTTCAATCTGCTCGTCGATTTGCTTTTAACTCTAGTTCTTCAAATGTAACGTCACCCTAAAATATCTCTTATATACTTTTTTAGATTTTAAGTTGCCAATTTTGTTCTCTTAATTGAATCGAATATTGTTAGCATCCTCTGCACGCTTAAAATCTGTCAGTTACTGATAGGTGTCAAGTAACCTAATGCATTTGAAATTAACAAGGGAATTATTTTCCTTATTTGCGATTTAAGAATGTGATATCTATAAAAATTTGAATTTTCGAAAGCTTTTGTGAATTTTTGGCAAAAATTTCTTTACTTTTGTCCAATTATAACTGTAGTAGGTATTTGTATTTAATTTTCCCGCCAACAATATTTGTTAAAAATTCTCTGTTGTTTGATTTATAGTAATAAGTAATAACTTACGTTCAATTCATCGAATTTTAAACTAAAATATGTTGATTTGTGGGTTTTTAAGCACGCAGCTCGTTGTTTGACGATATTTTTCTAGTCATTATAGTAGTAAATTTTACATTTCACATCTATTCTAAAAATAGTTGCCTTTTAAATAACTTCGGTATATCATATTATTTTTATTACTTAAGAACAAAAAATGTCCTTAATACCTAAAGACAAAAGTCTCAATCATCAATCAATCATCAATTAATGAAAAAAAACAAAGCAGATCATGGAAAAAATAGTAAAAGCAGAAAGATCCATGGAGAGATAAATGCTAAATATCAAATTAGTAAACAGGAAAAGAGATGATTGGATCCGCAAGAAAACAAAAGTGAAGGACGTTTTAACACATGAAGCAAAACGTAAATTGAAATGTGCTGGACATATCCTAAGGCAAAAAGACGAGATATGGAATAAGATACTTATGAACTGGATACGTGAAACCACAAACAAAAAAGGAAGATCGCAAATAAAATGAACAGATGATCTGAAAAAACACGCTGACGCATAATTAAGGCAAACTGTAAAGGTATGATAGAGAGGCATAGAAAAACGAAAAGGAGGCTTATAACCAAAGAGGATGTTTGGCAGTGTTTTGATAGACAGATTAAATTATTTTAAAATTAAAACTGTGTGTTTATTCTACTACTTGAGTTTGACAGCTATATTCATGTTCTCTCTAGAGTCCATAAGAAATTATTGTAATAAGTATATAAAACTAGCGATGGAGTATTTTAAATGTAAATTTGATTAAGTTAATAGTATAAGAAATTGCTATTTAAGTTTAGAAACATAAAAGGAAAAATGAATATTGTTATCCACATTCAATAATTCCAAATATGGATCAAATCGCTTTTTCTAAATTAAATTTAATCTGAACATACTTGGCAAAGAATTGATGGTTACGATTAAGAATTAATGGTTCTTATTCAATATTTTAATCAAGATGAATTTTAAATTTACGCTTAACTTTAAGCATTCACATATAATTTAGGTTCAGATTTAGTGTTTTTATAGCTTTGACTTTTAAGTCAATTACAACTTACAACTCCTTTCAATTCTAGCCATCAAGGCTCTTAGTATGCTTTTTTTATGCAAACCTTTTGCTGTTAGTACTTAGTATTAAAGAAAGTACTTGTAGTCAAGAAAGGTTATAGTTCAAAAAGATTTGAAAGTCATGAATGTCTTGACCTGCCCTACAACAAAATTACTGGATAAGTATATCACAACAGCGCAAAATTTTCGGACGACAATTAGATTGGACGATTTTGCATCACGCAAAAGTCTTTGCTGCGTTTCCTATTACCTTTAATGCTGGTCGGTTCTGTGTCCCTATTTCGCAGTAGCTCACACCTACTTTCTCCATATCCTATCTGACTGCATATTTCTAACTTTTTCTAGGTCGTCCTACAGCTCTTCTCCCATCTGGCCTTTCCCAAAATACATTGTTTATAAGGCAATTGTCGTTACTGCGTATCACATGCCCCGCCCATCTTAGTATATTAGCCTTAGTGTATCCCACTATAAGATTACAGATTTTTCCTTTTGAACAGATTATTTAATTCATTGTTGTATATATGCGTCCATTCATTTGTCGTGCTATCTTTGCCAAGGTCATAATATATAACTCGAACGATTTTGTGTTTTTATACTAGGAATTTATTAGTTCCATTTTTTGTGATCTGTGAAAGTAGCTAGTGTTACTTTTGGCATTTGTGACATACGTCAAATATGTTTGCAATAATGGTAAGTTTGCTTTCAGGATAAGACTGCTTAGTTCTTCTTTAGCCACGTTAGTCTCACAATCCATCTTGTCCAGGCGTTTATGTCTTTCGCTGCGTTCTAATTTGTTTTTCTCTTTTTCCTCTTTTTACCTAGGTACTTATATTTCCAGTTCCAAAGTTTTACTGCATTCGCTTCTCTTTAGACTGAAAGTAATATATATTTTCCATAAATATGTTAAAATGAAAGTACAATTTTATTAGATGTCCTGCCAGTCATCAAATCGAAAAAAGGCAGTTTTCTGGAAAATATATTAGGTACAAACAGATTTTAAAAAAATATTTTTAACACTATTATATTTAATTAAAATTATTGTATTTTAATTAAATTTGACCATAAACAAGACACTTCAACCCTTAGAAAACTCACAATTAGTTAAACGATAAGTAAATGGCAAATGGAGTATAAAACTGGAATGATGTTTGGTTTTTCTGGTACACATATAAAATAATGACATCAATAGGGATCAGAACAGAAACCCGGACAATTGCACCTTCGCCATTTTTTCATATCTTGGAATAATTTTATAGGCGAAACTCCTTCAGACTAACTTCTATACTGCTATCAAAACTATTTAAACACACGTATGTTACCAATAGGTAAAGTAGTTCACCCAGTATACCATGACAAGGTGAAATAAAGTTTGCTTAACCTTCACTTGACACTTTTTTTAATTACTTGCGTGAATTTATACCTACATTATGTTAATAATAACTCTATCAGCATATTATGGAGGGAAATTAATTTGATTATGTTTTCCGCATTAACCTTTTATAGAGAATTGTTATATTTGCAACCGAATATATCACAAACTGAACATAGACGTTAATGATACACAATTTGGTTTTCGCAAAGGACTAGGAACGCGTGAAGCTCTTTTTCATTTACATTCATAATATACTGATACACAGATGCCTGGACGTCAATCAAGATATATACGCATGTTTTATTGACTATAATAAAGCATTCGATAAAGTACGACATGAACAAAATGACAAATTTATACTATAAACAACGAGTAAAAGTACGTGTTAACGAACAACTGTCAGAAGAAATTGAAATTAGACGTGGAGTGAGAGAGGGATGCGTATTGTCGCCAATTATTTTTAATGCCTACCCTGAAGAGATCCTGAAAAAAGCTCTTGAGGGTGAAACAGCTGGAATAAAGGCAAATGGAGTTCCCATTAACAACATTAGATATGCGGATGACACTGTGATCTTAGCCGAAAATATTGAAGATCTTCAGAGACTGTTGACCAGAATAGCGGAGTATGGAAAAGAGTACGGTCTAACAATGAACGTCAAGAAGATGAAATTTATGAGAATATCGAAAACTCAAAGAAATAACGAGAATCTTCTAATAAACGGAACCAACGTCGAACAAGTGGAGAAATATGCATATCTGGGAACAATGATTAACTCCACAAATGATTACATTCAGGAGATCAAAATCAGAATAAAAAAGGCTAGAACAAATTTCAACAAAATGAGAGTGTACAAGGGATTTAAAATTGAAACTAAGGGTTAGGTTGGGGAGGTCCTATGTTTTTTCAACTTTGTTTTATGGAATGGAATCTTGGACCTTAAATGCGACATCAATGAAAAAACTGGAATCATTCGAGCTGTGAAGAAGAAAGAAAATTGTTCTGAAAGTAACAGAATCTTTTACAAAATATTCCAAAGGATAATTGAGAAGATTTAAGTAAGCCTGGATCAATTTGAATAATGGCGTTGAAATTATTTACGAAAATATGAGAAAAAAAACTTTATAGAAAATATTAAATTTAAGGATATACCTACCTACTGCAAATATTTTAACAACAAATGCAATGTAAAGTAAATTAAAATTGATATGTCTGCCTTGTTACCACTATCTCGTATAATATTTTCTTGTTGTTTTTAATGTGTTGTC